CTACTACTACTGATGATGATGATACTACTGATGATGATGATACTACTACTGATGATGATGATGATACTACTACTGATGATGATGATGGTACTACTACTGATGATCATGATACTATTGATGATGATGATGATGATGATGATACTACTACTGATTATGATGATACTACTACTGATGATGATACTACTGATGATGATGATACTATTACTGATGATGATACTACTACTGATAATGATGATAATGATGATACTACTACTGATGATGATGATACTATTACTGATGATGATGATACTACTGATGATGATGATACTACTGATGATGATGATACTACTACTGATAATGATACTACTACTAATGATAATGATGGTGATGTTACTACTACTACTGATGATGATGATGATACTACTACTGATGATGGTGATACTACTACTGATGATGATGATGATACTTATGATGATGATACTACTACTGATGATACTACTACTACTGATGATGATGATGATGAAACTACTACTACTGACGATGATACTGATGATGATGATGATGATACTACTACTACTGATGATGGTGATGATACTACTACTGATGATGATGATGATACTACTACTGATGATGCTGATACTACTGATGATGATGATGATGATACTACTACTGATGATGATGATGATGATGATACTACTACTGAAGATGGTAATACTACTGCTGATGATGATGATACTACTACTGATGATACTACTACTACTGATGATGATGATGCTACAACTACTGATGATGATACTTCTACTGATGATGATGATGATACTACTACTGATGATGATACTATTACTGATGATAATGATGATACTACTACTACTGATGATGATGATACTACTGATGATGATTCTACTACTGATGATTATGAGGATACTACTACTGATGATGATGATGGTACTTCTACTGATGATGATGAAACTATTACTGATGATGATGATACTACTACTGATGATGATACTACTACTGATAATGATGATACTACTACTGATGATGATACTACTGATGATGATGATGATACTACTGATGATGATGATACTACTACTGATGATGATACTACTACTACTGATGATGATGATGATACTACTACTGATGATGATACTACTGATGATGATGATGATACTACTGATGATAATGATACTACTACTACTGATGATGATAATGATACTACTACTGATGATGATGATGGTACTACTATTGATGATGATACTATTGATGATGGTGATACTACTGATGATGATGATACTACTTCTGATGATGATGATGATGATGACGATACTACTACTGATGATGATGATACTACTAATGATGATGTTGATACTACTACTACTGATGAAGATGAGGATGAGGATACTTCTACTGATGATGATGCTACTACTGATGATGATACTACTACTGATGATGATACTCCTACTGATGATGATGATGCTACTACTGATGATGATACTACTGATGATGATACTACTGATGATGATACTACTACTGATGATGATGATGATGATACTACTACTGCTGATGATACTACTACTGATGATGATGATGCTACTACTGATGATGATACTACTGATGATGATACTACTACTGATGATGATACTACTACTGATGATGATGATTCTACTACTGATGATGATGATGATGATACTACTACTGATGATGATGATACTACTACTGATGATGATGATGATGATACTACTACTGATGATGATGATACTACTACTGATGATGATACTACTACTACTGATGATGATGATGATACTACTGATGATGATGATGATACTACTACTGATGATGATGATACTACTGATGATGATGATACTACTACTGATGATGCTGATACTACTGATGATGATGATGATACTACTACTGATGATGATGATACTACTACTGAAGATGGTGATACTACTACTGATGATGATGATACTACTACTGATGATACTACTACTACTGATGATGATGATGCTACTACTACTGATGATGATACTTCTACTGATGATGATGATGATGATACTACTACTGATGATGATACTATTACTGATGATAATGATGATACTACTACTACTGATGATGATGATACTACTGATGATGATTCTACTACTGATGATTATGATGATACTACTACTGATGATGATGATGGTACTACTACTGATGATGATGAAACTATTACTGATGATGATGATACTACTACTGATGATGATACTACTACTGATAATGATGATACTACTACTGATGATGATACTACTGATGATGATGATGATGATACTACTGATGATGATGATACTACTACTGATGATGATACTACTACTACTGATGATGATGATGATACTACTGCTGATGATGATACTACTGATGATGATGATACTACTGATGATAATGATACTACTTCTACTGATGATGATAATGATACTACTACTGATGATGATGATGGTACTACTATTGATGATGATGATACTACTTCTGATGATGATGATGATGACGATACTTCTACTGATGATGATGCTACTACTGATGATGATACTACTACTGATGATGATACTCCTACTGATGATGATACTACAACTGATGATGATGATGATACTACTACTGCTGATGATACTACTACTGATGATGATGATACTACTACTGATGATGATACTACTACTGATGATGATACTACTACTGATGATGATGATGATTCTACTACTGACGATGATGATGATGATACTACTACTGATGATGATGATACTACTACTGATGATGATGATACTACTGCTGCTGATGATGATACTGATGATGATGATTCTACTACTGATGATGATGATGATGATGATACTACTACTGATGATGATACTTCTACTGATGATGATACTACTGATGATGATGATGATACTACTACTGATGATGATGATACCACTGATGATGATGATGATGATACTACTACTACTGATGATGATGATGATGATACTGCTACTGATGATGATGATGATACTACTACTGATGATGATGATACTACTACTACTGATGATGATGATACTACTGATGATGATGATACTACTACTGATGATGATGATGATGATACTACTACTGATGATGATGATGGTACTACTACTGATGATCATGATACTATTGATGATGATGATGATGATACTACTACTGATTATGATGATACTACTACTGATGATGATACTACTGATGATGATGATACTATTACTGATGATGATGATACTACTACTGATAATGATGATAATGATGATACTACTACTGATGATGATGATACTATTACTGATGATGATGATACTACTGATGATGATGATACTACTGATGATGATGATACTACTACTGATAATGATACTACTACTAATGATAATGATGGTGATGTTACTACTACTACTGATGATGATGATGATACTACTACTGATGATGGTGATACTACTACTGATGATGATGATGATACTTATGATGATGATACTACTACTGATGATACTACTACTACTGATGATGATGATGATGAAACTACTACTACTGACGATGATACTGATGATGATGATGATACTACTACTACTGATGATGGTGATGATACTACTACTGATGATGATGATGATACTACTACTGATGATGCTGATACTACTGATGATGATGATGATACTACTACTGATGATGATGATGATGATACTACTACTGAAGATGGTAATACTACTGCTGATGATGATGATACTACTACTGATGATACTACTACTACTGATGATGATGATGCTACTACTACTGATGATGATACTTCTACTGATGATGATGATGATACTACTACTGATGATGATACTATTACTGATGATAATGATGATACTACTACTACTGATGATGATGATACTACTGATGATGATTCTACTACTGATGATTATGAGGATACTACTACTGATGATGATGATGGTACTTCTACTGATGATGATGAAACTATTACTGATGATGATGATACTACTACTGATGATGATACTACTACTGATAATGATGATACTACTACTGATGATGATACTACTGATGATGATGATGATGATACTACTGATGATGATGATACTACTACTGATGATGATACAACTACTACTGATGATGATGATGATGATACTACTACTGATGATGATACTACTGATGATGATGATGATACTACTGATGATAATGATACTACTACTACTGATGATGATAATGATACTACTACTGATGATGATGATGGTACTACTATTGATGATGATACTATTGATGATGGTGATACTACTGATGATGATGATACTACTTCTGATGATGATGATGATGATGACGATACTACTACTGATGATGATGATACTACTAATGATGATGTTGATACTACTACTACTGATGAAGATGAGGATGAGGATACTTCTACTGATGATGATGCTACTACTGATGATGATACTACTACTGATGATGATACTCCTACTGATGATGATGATGCTACTACTGATGATGATACTACTGATGATGATACTACTGATGATGATACTACTACTGATGATGATGATGATGATACTACTACTGCTGATGATACTACTACTGATGATGATGATGCTACTACTGATGATGATACTACTGATGATGATACTACTACTGATGATGATACTACTACTGATGATGATGATTCTACTACTGATGATGATGATGATGATACTACTACTGATGATGATGATACTACTACTGATGATGATGATGATGATACTACTACTGATGATGATGATACTACTACTCATGATGATACTACTACTACTGATGATGATGATGATACTACTGATGATGATGATGATACTACTACTGATGATGATGATACTACTGATGATGATGATACTACTACTGATGATGATGATACTACTGATGATGATGATACTACTACTGATGATGATGATACTACTGATGATGATGATGATACTACTACTGATGATGATGCTACTACTACTACTGATGATGATGATACTGATGATGATGATGATGCTCACCACCATTGTAAGTATTCTCCAGGTTCTCCTCGGCTCTCTCCCTCTGCTCCTCCTCCTCCTCCTCGTCACCGTCCACCTCGTCCGCTCCACCTCTTCTCGACGAGGTGGACGTCTTCGACGAGGGGGACGACTCCTTCACCTCCTCATGCTTCAACTCCTTCACCTCCTCATTCTTCAGCTCCTCGTTCTTTAGCTCCTTCAGCTCCTCATTCTCCACCTCCTCATTCTTCAACTCATTCGCCCCCTCGTTCTTTAGCTCCTTCAGCTCCTTCAACTCCTTCACCTCCTCGTTTTTCAGCTCCTTCAAATCCTTCACCTCCTCATTCCGCAACTCCTTCACCTCTTTGTCAACATTCACCTCCTCATTCCGAAACTCCTTCACCTCCTCATTCTTCAGCTCCTTCAGCTCCTTCAGCTCCTTCACATCCTCACTCTTCAACTCCTTCACCTCCTCATCCTTCAACTCCTTCACCTCTTCATCCTTCAACTCCTTCACCTCTTCATCCTGATCGCGTTTCTCACGGAGCGGCCCGCCGGCTCCGACTGTCTCCACCTCCTCCACCTCCTCCACCTCCTTCAACTCCTTCACCTCCTCATTCTTCACCTCCTTCACCTCCTTCACCTCCTCCAACTCCTTCACCTCCTCATTCTTCAACTCCTTCACCTCCTCCAACTCCTTTACCTCCTCATTCTTCACCTCCTTCACCTCCTCCACCTCCTTCACCTCCTCATTCTTCACCTCCTTCACCTGCTCCAACTCCTTCACCTCCTCATTCTTCACCTCCTTCACCTCCTTCACCTCCTCATTCTTCACCTCCTCATTCTTCAACTCCTTCACCTCCTTCAACTCGTTCACCTCCTCATTATTCAACTCCTTCAACTCCTTCACCTCCTTCACCTCCTTCCCCTCCTCATTATTCACCTCCGTCACCTCCTTCACACAGAGACACAGAGACACAGAGACACAGAGAGACACACAGAGACACACACAGAGACTCACAGACACACAGAGACACACAGACACACACAGAGACTCACAGACACACAGAGACTCACAGAGACACACAAAGAGACACAGAGACACAGAGAGACACACAGAGACACAGAGACACACAGACAGAGACACACAGAGACACAGAGACACGGAGAGACACACAGAGACACACAGAGAGAGACACACACAGAGACACACAGACAGAGACACACAGAGACTCACAGAGACACACACAGAGACACAGAGACACAGAGAGACTCACAGAGACACAGAGACACACAGAGACACACAGAGACACACACAGAGACACACAGAGACACACACAGAGACACACACAGAGACACACACAGAGACTCACACAGAGACTCACACGGAGACACACACAGAGACACACACAGAGACTCACAGAGACACACAGAGACACACAGAGACACACACAGAGACACAGAGACACAGAGACACAGAGACTCACAGACACATAGAGACTCACAGAGACACACACAGAGACACACACAGAGACACACAGACTCACACAGATACACAGAGACTCACAGACACACAGAGACTCACAGAGACACACACAGAGACACACACAGAGACACACAGAGACACACAGAGACTCACAGAGACACACAGAGACACAGAGACTCACAGACACACAGAGACACACACACAAACACATACAGAGACTCACACAGAGACACACACAGAGACACACAGAGACACACAGAGACTCACAGACACACACAGAGACACACACAGAGACACACAGAGACTCACAGAGACTCACAGACACACACAGAGACTCACAGACACACACAGAGACACACACAGAGACATACACAGAGACTTACACAGACACTCCCACAGAGACACACACAGAGACACACACAGACACACGCAGAGATACACAGAGATACACACAGAGACAAACAGAGACACACAGAGACACAGAGACACACAGAGACACGCAGAGACACACACAGACACACAGAGAGACACACAGAGACACACACAGAGACACACACAGAGACTCACAGAGACACAGAGATACACACAAAGACACGCAGAGACACAGAGACACACACAGAGACACACAGAGACACACACAGACACACAGAGAGACTCACAGAGACTTACACAGAGACACACACAGAGACACAGAGAGACACACACAGAGACACACACAGTGACTCACAGAGACTCACACAGAGACACACAGAGACTCACAGAGAGACACACAGAGACTCACACAGAGACACACAGAGACTCACACAGAGACTCACAGATACACACGCAGAGACACACACAGACTCACACAGACACACACAGACACACAGAGACTCACACAGAGACACACACAGAGACAAACAGAGACACACAGAGACTCACACAGAGACAAACAGAGACACACAGAGACACACAGAGACACACACAGAGACACAGAGACACAGAGAGACTCACAGAGACACAGAGACACACAGAGACACACAGAGACACACACAGAGACACACAGAGACACACACAGAGACACACACAGAGACTCACACAGAGACTCACACAGAGACACACACAGAGACACACACAGAGACTCACAGAGACACACAGAGACACACAGAGACACACACAGAGACACAGAAACACAGAGACACAGAGACTCACAGACACACAGAGACTCACAGAGACACACACAGAGACACACACAGAGACACACAGAGACACACAGAGACTCACAGAGACACACAGAGACACAGAGACTCACAGACACACAGAGACACACACACAGACACATACAGAGACTCACACAGAGACACACACAGAGACACACAGAAACACACAGAGACTCACAGACACACACAGAGACACACACAGAGACACACAGAGACTCACAGAGACTCACAGACACACACAGAGACTCACAGACACACACAGAGACACACACACAGACATACACAGAGACTTAAACAGACACTCCCACAGAGACACACACAGAGACACACACAGACACACACAGAGATACACAGAGATACACACAGAGACAAACAGAGACACACAGAGACACACACAGTGACTCACAGAGACTCACACAGAGACACACAGAGACTCACAGAGAGACACACAGAGACTCACACAGAGACACACAGAGACACAGAGACTCACAGAGAGACACACAGAGACACAGAGACACACAGAGACTCACACAGAGACACACACAGAGACTCACACAGAGACAGACACAGAGACTCACACAGAGACACACACAGAGACTCACACAAAGACACACAGAGACTCACAGAGACACACAGAGACACACAGAGACTCACACAGAGACACACAGAGACACACACAGAGACACACACAGAGACACTCACAGACACACACAGAGACTCACAGAGACACACACGGAGACACACACAGAGACTCACAGAGACTCACAAAGAGACACACAGAGACACAGAGACACACAGAGACACACAGAGACACTCACAGACACACACATAGACTCACAGAGACACACAGAGACACACAGACACACACAGAGACACACAGAGACACACACAGAGACACACAGAGACACACAGAGACTCACACAGTGGAGTAGTGTATAGTGTAGTGCATAGTGTAGTAGTGTTGTGTAGTAGTATGTGGTAAAGTGTATAGTGTAGTGTAGTAGTGTATAATGTAGTGTATAGTGTTGTGTATAGTGTAGTGTAGTAGTGTGTGGTAAAGTGTATAGTGTAGTGTAGTAGTGTATAGTGTAGTGTATAGTGTAGTGTATAGTGTATAGTGTAGTAGTGTATAGTGTAGTAGTGTACAGTGTAGTGTATAGTGTAGTGTATAATGTAGTATTGTATAGTGTAGTAGTGTATAGTGTAGTAGTGTATAGTGTAGTAGTGTATAGTGTAGTGTATAGTGTAGTGTAGTAGTGTATAGTGTAGTAGTGTATAGTGTAGTAGTATATGATGAAGTGTATAGTGTAGTGTAGTAGTGTAATAGTGTATAGTGTAGTAGTGTATGATGAAGTGTATAATGTAGTGTAGTAGTGTATAGTGTAGTAGTGTATAGTATAGTAGTATATGGTGAAGTGTATAGTGTAGTGTAGTAGTGTTCAGTGTAGTGTATAGTGTATAATGTAGTGTAGTGTTTAGTGTAGTGTAGTAGTGTATGGTGAAGTAATATAGTGTAGTGTATAGTAGTGTATAGTGTATAGTAGTGTATAGTGTAGTAGGGTTTAGTGTAGTGTACAGTGTAGTGTATAGTGTACTGTATAGTGTAGTGTATAGTGTAGTGTATGGTGTAGTGCATAGTGTAGTGTAGTAGTGTATAGTGTAGTAGTGTATAGTGTAGTGTAGTAGTGTATAGTGTAGTGTATAATGTAGTAGTGTATAGTGTAGTAGTGTATAGTAGTGTAGTGTATAGTGTAGTAGTGTATAGTGTAGTGGTGTAGTGTATAGTGTAGTGTAGTAGTGTATACTGTATAGTAGTGTATAGTGTAGTGTATAGTGTAATGTATAGTGTAGTGTATAGTGTAGTGTAGTGTATAGTGTAGTGTATGGTGTAGTGTATAGTGTAGTGTATGGTGTAGTGTATAGTGTAGTGTATAGTGTAGTGTATAGTGTAGTGTATGGTGTAGTGTATAGTGTAGTGTAGTGTATAGTGTAGTGTATGGTGTAGTGTATAGTGTAGTGTATAGTGTAGTGTAGTAGTATATAGTGTAGTGTAGTGTATAGTGTGGTGTATGGTGTAGTGTATAGTGTAGTGCATAGTGTAGTAGTGTATAGTGTAGTGTATAGTGTATAGTGTAGTGTACTGTATAGTGTGGTGTATGGTGTAGTGTATAGTGTAGTGTATAGTGTAGTGTAGTGTATAGTGTAGTGTATAGTGTAGTGTATAGTGTAGTGTATAGTGTAATGTATAGTGTATAGTGTAGTGTATAGTGTAGTGTATAGTGTAGTAGTGTATAGTGTAGTGTGTAGTGTAGTAGTGCATAGTGTAGTGTAAAGTGTAGTGCATAGTGTAGTGTATAGTGTAGTTGTGTATAGTGTAGTGTATAGTGTAGTGTAGTAGTGTATAGTGTAGTGGGTAGTGTAGTGTATAGTGTAGTGTAGTAGTGTATGGTGAAGTGTATAGTGTAGTGTATAGTGTAGTGTATAGTGTATAGTGTAGTTGTGTATAGTGTAGTTGTGTATAGTGTAGTATAGTAGTGTGTAGTGTAGTGTATAGTGTAGTGGATGATGTAGTGTAGTAGTGTATAGTGTAGTGTATAGTGTAGTTTAAAGTGTAGTGTATGGTGAAGTGTATAGTGTGTAGTGTAGTGTATAGTGTAGTAGTGTATAGTGTAGTGTATAGTGTAGTGTATAGTGTAGTGAATAGTGTAGTAGTGTATAGTGTAGTGTATAGTGTAGTGTATGATGAAGTGTATAGTGTAATGCTACTCCACATGATGATTCTACTACTGATGATGATACTATTACTGATGATGATACTATTACTGATGATGATGATGATGATACTACTACTAATGATGATGATGATACTGATGATGATGATACTACTACTGATGATGATACTAATACTGATGATGATGATGATGCTATTACTGATGATGATGATACTACTACTGATGATGATGATGATACTGATGATGATGATACTACTACTGATGATGATACTACTACTGATGATGATGATACTACTACTGATGATGATGATGGAACTACTGATGGTGAATCTAATACTGATGATGATGATACTACTACTGATGAAGATGATGCTACTACTGATGATGATGCTACTACTGATGATGATGATACTACTGATGATGATGATACTACTACTACTACTGATGATGATGATGATACTACTACTGATGATGATGATACTACTGATGATGATGATACTACTACTACTGATGATGATGATACTACTACTAATGATGATGCTACTACTGATGATGATATTACTACTGAAGATGATACCAATACTGATGATGATGATGATAATACCACTACTGATGATGATGATGATCCATTCACCTCGCCAGCGACGATCCCATTGGCTGCAGTTGCCGGGGGGATTGGCCAATCGGAGAAGCCTGCAGAGCAGAGACCACGTGACAGGCAAAGACCAAAGATCCCCCATATAACCTTAACAGACTGTAGGGGCAAGTGCTGTTAGCGAGCACCTATGAAGGCCGGAACGGTACACGAGGGGGTGGGTGGCCAGCACCACGCCCGACCGCCTTTGTCTCCCTAGTGGCGATGTTTACTACACCGCTACACCAGGTACTCATTTGAGGCTGAGTCGACCTAGGGGAGGCCCGGGACCGGCTCAGATAATCGTCACTGGTGTTGGCCGTGAGCGGGAATCGAACCCGGGTCAACAGGTTGATAGCGCAGTGTAGCGACTCACCCACCCACTCACACACCCACTCACCCACCCACTCACCCACCCACTCACCCACCCACTCACCCACCCACTCACCCACCCACTCACCCACCCACTCACTCTCTCACTCACTCACCCACTCACCCACCCACTCACTCACTCACACACTCACTCGCTCACCCACTCACTCACACACTCACCCACCCACCCACTCACTCACCCACCCACCCACCCACTCACTCACTCAGTCACTCACCCACCCATTAACCCACCCACCAACTCACTCACCCACCCACCCACTCACTCTCTCACTCACTCACCCACTTACTCACTCACCCACCAACTCACTCACAAACCCACCCACTCACTCACCCACTCACTCACCCACTCACCCACCCAGCCACTCACCCACACACTAACCCACCCACCAACTCACTCACCCACCCACCCACTCACTCTCTCACTCACTCACTCACCCACTCACTCACTCACCCACCCACCCACTCACTCAATCACCCACTCACTCACTCACTCACCCACCCACTCACCCACTCACCCACCCACCCACTCACTCACTCACCCACCCACTCACCTACTCACTCACCCACTCACCCACTCACTCACCCACTCACTCACCCACTCAGTAACTTAGTCGCTCACCCACTCACTCACTCACCAACTCACTCACCCAATCACCCACTCACTCGCCCACTCACTCACCCACCCATTCGCCCACTCACTCGCCCACCCACTCTTTCACCCACTCACCCACCCACCAACTCACTCACTCACCCACTCACCCACTCACTCACCCACTCACCCACTCACCCACCCACCCACCCACTCACCAACCCACTCACCCACTCACTCACCTACCCACTCACCCACCCACTCACTCACTCACTCACCCACTCACCCACTCACTCACCCACTCACTCACCCACTCACCCACTCACCCACCCACTCACAAACCCACTCACCCACCCATTCACTCACCCACTCACTCACCCACTCACTCACCCACCCACCCACTCACTCACTCAGTCACCTACACACTCACCCACCCACCCACTCAACCACCCACACATCCACTCACCCACTCACTCACCCACCCATTCGCCCACTCACTCGACCACTCACTCACTCAACCACTCATTCTCCCACTCACCCACAAACTCACTCACCCACTCACCCACCCACTCACCCACCAACCCATTCACTCACCCACTCACCCATCCACCCACCCACCCACCCACTCACTCACTCATCCACCCACTCACCCACTCACCCACTCAATCACTCACTCACCCACTCACCCACCCACCCACTCACTCACTCACCCACTCACCCAGCCACCCACTCACACACACACTCACTCACTCACCTACCCACCCACTCACTCACCCACTCACCCACCCACCCGCTCACTCGCCCACTCACCTACTCACTCACCCACTCACTCACTCACTCACCCACTCACCCACCCACTCACCAACTCACCCACACATCCACTCACCCACTCACTCACCCACCCATTCGCCCACTCACTCGACCATTCACTCACTCAACCACTCACTCACCCACTCACCCACCCACCCACTCACCCACTCACCCACCCAACCACTCACTCACCCACTCACCCACCCACCCACTCACCCACTCACCCACTCACCCACTCACTCACCCACTCACCCAGCCACCCACTCACACACACACTCACTCACCCACCCACTCAATCACTCACTCACTCACTCACCCACTCACCCACTCACCCACCCACTCACCCACTCACCCACTCACCCACTCACCAACCCACTCACCCACCCATTCACTCACCCACTCACTCACCCACTCACTCACCCACTCACTCACTCAGTTACCTACACACTCACCCACTCATCAACCCACTCACCCACTCACCCACCCACCCACTCACACACTCACTCACTCACCTACCAACCCACTCACTCACCCACACACCCACCCACCCGCTCACTCGCCCACTCACCTTCTCACTCACCCACGCACCCACTCCCTCACTCACTCACCCACTCACCCACTCACCCACCCACCCACTTACCAACCCACTCACCCACCCATTCACTCACCCACTCACTCACTCACCCACTCACTCACCCACCCACCCACCCACCCACTCACTCACTCACCCACTCACCCACCCACCCACTCACTCACCCACTCACCCACTCACCCACCCACTTACCAACCCACTCACCCACCCATTCACTCACCCACTCACTCACCTACTCACTCACCCACTCACTCACCCACCCACCCACTCACCCACTCACCCACACACTCACTCACCCACTCACCCACCCACTCACTCACCCACTCACCCACTCACTCACCCACCCACTCACCAACCCACTCACCCACCCATTCACTCACCCACTCACTCACCCACTCACTCACCCACTCACTCACCCACCCACTCACTCACTCACTCACCCACTCACTCACTCACCCACCCACTCACTCACTCACTCAACCACCCACTCACCCACTCACCCACCCACCCACCCACTCACCCACTCACCCACTCACCCACCCACCCACTCACTCACTCACCCAGCCACCCACTCACACACACACTCACTCACCCACCCACTCAATCACTCACTCACTCACCCACTCACCCACTCACCCACCCACTCACCCACTCACCCACCCACCCACCCACTCACCAACCCACTCACCCACCCATTCACTCACCCACTCACTCATCCACTCACTCACCCACCCACTCACTCACTCAGTTACCTACACACTCACCCACTCATCAACCCACTCACCCACTCACCCACCCACTCACCCACCCACCCACTCACACACTCACTCACTCACCTACCAACCCACTCACCCACTCACCCACCCACCCGCTCACTCGCCCACTCACCTTCTCACTCACCCACTCACCCACTCCCTCACTCACTCACCCACTCCCCCACCCACCCACTTACCAACCCACTCACCCACCCATTCACTCACCCACTCACTCACCCACTCACTCACCCACTCACTCACCCACCCACCCACTCACTCACTCAACCACTCACCCACTCACTCACCCACTCACCCACTCACCCACCCACCCACTTACCAACCCACTCACCCACCCATTCACTCACCCACTCACTCACCCACTCACTCACCCACCCACCCACTCACCCACTCACCCACTCAATCACTCACCCACTCACCGTCCCACCCACTCACTCACCCACTCACCCACTCACTCACCCACCCACTCACCCACCCACTCACTCACTCACCCACTCACCCACCCACCCACTCACTCACCCACTCACCCACTCACTCACCCACCCACTCACCAACCCACTCACCCACCCATTCACTCACCCACTCACTCACCCACTCACTCACCCACTCACTCACCCACCCACTCACTCACTCACTCACCCACCCACTCACTCACTCACTCACCCACTCCCTCACTCACTCACCCACTCACCCACTCACCCACCCACCCACTTACCAACCCACTCACCCACCCTTTCACTCACCCACTCACTCACCCACTCACTCACCCACTCACTCACTCACTCACCCACCCACTCACCCACCCACCCACTCACTCACCCACTCACCCACACACCCACCCACCCACTTACCAACCCACTCACCCACCCAGTCACTCACCCACTCACTCACCCACTCACTCACCCACTCACTCACCCACCCACCCACTCACCCACTCACCCACTCACTCACTCACTCACCCACTCACCCACCCACTCACTCACCCACCCACTCACCCACTCACTCACCCACCCACTCACCAACCCACTCACTCACTCACCCACTCACCCACCCACCCACTCACTCACCCACTCACCCACTCACTCACCCACCCACTCACCAACCCACTCACCCACCCACTCACTCACCCACTCACCCACTCACTCACCCACCCACTCACCAACCCACTCACCCACCCACCCACTCACCCACTCACCCACTCACCCACTCACTCACCCACTCACCCAGCCACCCACTCACACACTCACCCACTCACCCACCCACTCACTCACTCACTCACTCACTCACCCACTCACCCACTCACCCACCCACTCACCCACTCACCCACCCACCCACTCACCAACCCACTCACCCACCCATTCACTCACCCACTCACTCACCCACTCACTCACCCACTCACTCACTCAGTTACCTACACACTCACCCACTCATCAACCCACTCACCCACTCACCCACCCACCCACTCACACACTCACTCACTCACCTACCAACCCACTCACTCACCCACTCACCCACCCACCCGCTCACTCGCCCACTCACCTTCTCACTCACCCACGCACCCACTCCCTCACTCACTCACCCACTCACCCACTCACCCACCCACCCACTTACCAACCCACTCACCCACCCATTCACTCACCCACTCACTCACTCACCCACTCACTCACCCACCCACCCACCCACTCACTCACTCACCCACTCACCCACCCACCCACTCACTCACCCACTCACCCACTCACCCACCCACTTACCAACCCACTCACCCACCCACTCACTCACCCACTCACTCACCTACTCACTCACCCACTCACTCACCCACCCACCCACTCACCCACTCACCCACACACTCACTCACCCACTCACCCACCCACTCACTCACCCACTCACCCACTCACTCACCCA